AGACTGGGCACCAGAGTCCCCGGAACCTGCCGGGGGCTGCCCCCGACGCCCGGCTGGAAGAACGTTTGCTGCTGGTGCCCTGACACAGGGACGCGCTTCCCAGCTCTGGTGGAGCGTGGCACCTGCCTGGAGTTTGGGAACTGCCTGGGCACAGAAAGCTGCCCATCGCTCTCTGAGCCACCGGCCGAGAACGCCGTGGCACTCGGGCCCCAAAGGCAGAATCTTACGGCCTCTTGGATATCTGGATGAGCAAAGCCGAGGTTCTCACGCCGTAAAAGGAGGGCCTGGACAGTTGTGGGGCATCAAACCGATGGGAGAAGAGGGATCAAGGGGCAGGAGGCCTGCCCGTTTCTGTAGGCTAAAAAAGAAATGCCAAGAGAGATCTGATGTTCCGTTTGGGAGAAAGGCTTGAGCAGAGGGGGTGAAATGGCTCAGCCACGGCGCTACGGTGGACTTGAGGTTCCTTTTCTCCACCGGCTTCTGTGGATCTGGATCTGAGAACGCGCTCATATACTCACAACTCCCAGACCACAGCACCCCCAGGAACTAACTGCCTTGGCACGGCCTGCCTCATCCTCATCCCACAGCTGAAGGATGCTTAACTGTCCCAGTTTCAAAGCTGGGTTTTCTCGCTTCTCTCTGCACAATGTCAGCCGTGGACACGATCTAGCGTGCTTCGCCAACAACATGGCTGATGATGTGGTCAGGGGTTGGGATCTGCCAGCTCCTGTGGCCACTTTAGGCCTTTCTGCAGGAAAGGTCAGATACGTGGCTTCCGTGGGACACATCCGCCCACGTAATGTCCAGGCGGCACTTTCCAAAGCACTTGTGAAGACGCACGCAGGACCCTCATGCACATGGGTTTCGCATCCTTCTGCCTGAACACTAGAGCTACATTTACAGACCAGGAGGAGCTCTTCTTGAGAAAATGCCAATCCAGAGCTGGACAGAAGGTCAATTTAAACTGGGAAAGAGAGCCAGTTCTGCCAGTATGCGCCACTGGTTCTGATGTAAATTAGTGCAGGGTGAGTTTACTGCTGCTTGTGCCAACAAGGGCTCCACATGGCTCTGTTTTAGTACTTTTATTATAGAGGCCACCATTTTGCCCACTCCACGGACTACTTCCAGATGCTGCCGGGCACAGCCGCTCACTGCCAGTGTTCATCGCTGATAGCTCCCTCCACTTCACCCTGCTCTTGGAGCCATTCGGACGAGCTTTTTTGCTAGTTGGAAAAGATGCGACCCAGCGCCTGGTGTTTTGGTAGCAAAAGAGTGACTC